ACAGGTCACCTTGATGGTTCGTGCTATGCTGTAGCACAAACCACCGCACAATCACAGATGACATCGTAGCACAGGTCACATCGTAGCATAGGTCACCTTGGTGGTTCGTGCTATGCTGTAGCACAAACCACGGCGCAACCACAGATGACATCGTAGCACAGGTCACATCGTAGCACAGGTCACCTTGATGGTTCGTGCTATGCTGTAGCACAAACCACCACACAATCACAGATGACATCGTAGCACAGGTCACATCGTTGCACGGAGCACATCGTAGCACGGAGCACAGCACTAAACACCAGGAGATATACTCCTGGTTCGCAGTGGTAGTTCTTAGTTTCCCCACAGATGTGGGTACTCACGGCAGGAACCACTTGGAGGTGACTACTTGCTCAACTATGACTCTCTCAAGTGCTAATCCGGGTACTAGATCGGTGGACCGATCCGACACCCCAGTCGACCGCCTCGAGAGAATCATAGTCACTCCTGCCTTTTAAAAAGAACGATGCGTGTTTCGTTCTGGGTCTACTGGTGGCCTCGTTAATAAAAGTACCTAACAAGCAGGAATCATGAAAGGGATCAGTCAGTTATTCCATAATGACGAATACGGGAAGCGCCGCCACTATTCGAACCGTAGATCCCAACATGCCAACATTAATACTAGTTCCCCTAAAAAAACAATGGTTCCAGAACGTATCTGGTGTCATCTGAATTCAATCGATGCCGACAACGAGCTCCCTAGGGAAGATATATCGGCGCATCGATGACCCCGAATTCGTTCGGTGTCGTCAGCACGCCGAATTCTTGCATGGCCAGCCGCGACACACGATATTTACCGTTCCCAGGGGAAGGCATTGAGCCATTCAAGCGTCGAACACTCGATACCACACGTCATCTCACGTGTTCCGCCGCGCGTTGGCGTAAAGCTCTCTCCGGGGTATCATATCTGTTCTCCGACGCCCTCCTCCCTCACGGGCTGATCGGTTCGCCTTCTTTCTCCGCTTGTCCGTTCCTCTTTCTCCCGTTCGCAACCCCGCCGACCTTCCCACCCCTGTTTCCCGCCTCGCTCTTTCGCCGCTGCCCCCCCACCCCCCCCCCCCCAAACCGCGTCGTCCTCTTCCTCTCTCAACCGCCGCGATCTGCTTGTGATTCAAAACCTCAGGACACTTGTTGCATTGCCTGCTTACTCGTGCAGTCGCACACACGCGCGCAGAACTGGCGCGCACACGCACGCACGCATACGTTCGTGCGGCCGTGAAACTGTTTTACGTTTAAGTCGACATTACAAGTCGCGATTCATCGGTTCGCGGGAGCAACCCACCCCCGTATCCCGCCGCCCTGGGACGTTGCGCGATAGTAAATTTATTTGATGTAGAACGGACGGATTTCGAAGTTACGGTACTGATAACATTGAACAAAATGGATTGTAGTCTTATGTCGCATGCTAGGTCGTAATATAAGTTTGGAGGCATGTTCCGGCTATCATAGAACAAGAGAAAGCTGATAAAAAACTAACTAGTATGTTCGGTGGTTGCGTGTGGATATAGACCGTAAACACAAGAAGATAGCGGTACGGAACCAGAAACTAGCTGGTAGATTCAGTGGTCGAGGATGAAAGCAAGGTCTATGCTGTAGAACTAGCAACGGTGTTGAACTAGGAACAAAGTGATGGATTCACTGGTTGGGTGTGGGTACATAGTGTCTACATTGTAGATACGAACCGACAGCGGTGCTAACTAGAAACAAACTCGTAATGGTCCTGAGTTGGAGTGTTCATTCTCTGGGGGTGGAGAATAAAGGTTTAATTTAAACCCAGCCGTAGACTTCGTTTGTGAAAAAAAATCGTCGCAATGCCCAAGCAAACAGCAATCCGTAGAGACAGATGGAAATATTAACAGTGCTACATCAGGATTCGGTAAAGCAAGGACTAGGTTGCCACGGGGTTCATATAACGAAGTATTTGCATGACCCAGGGAAAGGTTCAGTTGGAGTGAAAATATTTAAACAGTAGGGTTGGTACATTACAACCGTGTTGGCATTCCGCGTTTATTTGTACGCGATGATCTGTTTTTGGGGTATGTCGACCCTCTGCGGATCGAACGAGCGAGTTAGCATTGGTGGGAGGAGTCAAGGGAGCATGACCGAGAGAATCAATGTTTTAAAATCATCGACATCGTTCACAGATATGGCGCTGGCATACTGGGCAACTCGACAGTTTCGCTGGGCACCGCCCACGAAGGTATAGGCCAGTATGATTAGGATACTTGTTTAAAATCGGATATGTCTAGAAAATACGAGGTCTCGTACAAAGCGTCCCTGTTGGTATTCGCAAAATTCAGTTTCGTGGCGTGAACGAGGGCTTGACATGATTTAGAGTGGCTGCGTGTGCGAAGTCTTTGCAAAGTTTAGGGTGTAGGGTAGCCCAAGGAGCTCGTGAAATGTGAGGGTTGCGTCGCACACAAGAGGGTGCCGAGTTGCGGTTAATTGATACTTAGGTACTTGGGGTATCAGTTTCCTAAAGCGGAAGGTAATAGAAAACTTTAAATTTCGCCGTAACATTTTTAACGAATCGGTGAATTGGATCGCATTGCTCAATAAATAAGTCAACTGTGTGTAATAAGTCTACACCTCTACCTTGCGCTATATCGTTCAGATTCGAAAGCAAAACAATACTAACGCTTCCCAATCATCTGATGGTTTCTTCATTAAAGTTCGGAACGAGAATGTCGTTCGCGGCGTGCACAAGTTTGCCACTGTGTCACGTTGATCCAAAATCCATTATCTCAGTTTCTTACCTACAGCTCTTTTCTTCGTTTTACAGGCAAGCCTCAAGTAAATCTTATCAAATTACCTCACTGTACCGTGCAGCTATACACGCACACGCACACGCACACGGACGTATACGTACACCCACATCAACCTTTGCCTTTCTCAGCTAGGAGGCTCCCATCCTTGATTAAGTTATGCCGCTCCTCCACCTCCTTAGAGAGAAACGTTTCCTATTAAGAGGCAGAGAACATCCCTCCGGCTAAATACCTCCTCGCAAAGACATCAAAGTTCCGTTACTGCTCATGAATTTTCCCCAGTGGGCGTTCCGCGTGAAACGGCTCCACGTGACGCTGACGTTTGACAGCGGAAGAAAAGGGGTCACCCATGCTGTTTGCTGTTGAGTCGCACTCTGCGCTTTCTAATCCCTCTCGAGGAACGTACCCGGTACTTGGGACTCGGATGCCATTTCCATCAAAGTGGAAATTGTGGTCTCGAGTCCTTCGTGATATGGGTCAGATTGAAAATTGTAGGGGATACCGAAAATGTTTCGGCTCGACTTAATAGCGATCGGCTATAACCTTAAGGATGATTCCGTTCGATGCTTTTAGCTACAAGTCTATCAGGAATCAGGTGTTAAGTACTTGCCTCTCTAGTTGAAAAATCCGTTCACGAATTACGGATCATCCTTGATCTATCCCTCCCAATTGGTCTCTTTTAGACTTGTTGCCGAATAAAAGTAGCTGGTTCCATTATCTCCGCGCTGAAGCATCGCAGTAGTAACGAACGAATAGGTATTCCAGGGGTGTAGAGGAAATCATGAAACGAAGAACAGACTGGCGAACGAATTCCCATTCTAACGGGAGACTCATGTTTTGTTCCAGATCACGGAAACGTACGGCTTTCTTCCACGCGAGGCGGTAACGCGATTTCTGCTGGGCTGCACGGAATGCCAACGACGCCCGCGGACCCCGAGCCCGACGAATTTATCCACCCAGGCGCAGTCTACGACGACGACACCGATAACGACGACGACGACGACGACGACGACGTCGTTGAGCCCTAACGCGGGCGCCGCCCTCACGACGACGACGACGGCGTCAGTGCAAAGTAGTTCTAAGCCGCGCGAGGGACATCAGCCCGGTGACAGCAAGGGTCTGTACAGCTATAGGCATCACAAGCATCACAAGGGGAGCGGGTCGATAGATAAAACCGATAAGGAGAAGGAGGAGAAGTACAATCCCTTGAGTATCACGAATCTGCTGAAGAAGGAGCCAGTCGCTGGGAGTTTTTTACCGAGCACGGAAACCTTACCCGAGTCCAGGCGAACCCCGGAGTCGGATCGAGCGAGCTCGAGAAGTTCGGCCTCGTCGAAGAGGAAAAGGATGTTGCCAGAGGGGCGAACGCCATCCCCTCAGCCCAGCCAGCCGTTGCCAAGGCCGTGGAGTCCTGGACTCGATCCCAAGAACACGCCCATCGACTACAGTCTTCCCATCACTACCTCGTACCTGAAGCATCAGCAGAGGCTACTGCAGGCGGAAAAAAACAAGGCCGCCGCGCTCAAGGAGGCTGAGTACGAGCAGAAAGTCACCGTCTTGCCCGCGGAGGACATCGACACAGTCGAGAGGGACAGATACTCGCCAGCCACCGGATTGATCGACACCAATCTCAATCTACTGGCCACCATTCAGCACCTGCACTGCCAAGTGATGCTGGCTCTCACCGAGAGGCTGAGACCCTCCATGACGATGCCAAGCCCCCTCGTTCTGCCTTCGATGACCAACGTACTCTCGAACGGCATATTGATGGGCTCGGAGGTGTCAGTGCAGACCGGGGAACATCACACGTGAAAGACGTTACTCTACGAAGAGTACCAGAAGATCGGAACGACCAATTGACTCCTGTTTGAGAACGCGTGTCGCGGATATGCTTGCTTCTAACAAGAACGGACACACGGGTGGACGCAACGTCCTGACCTGTTGCTTTAAAAAAATCGGACTAAACGGTGGCATACTGGATGTACTTTGACCCTAACACAGCAAGTTCCCAACGTTTTTCGACGGGGGACTCTGCGGGAAACAGAACTATCTAGACCGCATCTACCTTAATTTTTGATATTTAATAAATTATTCCTTTCTCAAATATCGTTGGAACTTTTACTCGAGACTCTGGAGGATAATGAAATTCGGTCCCGACTGCGAACCTCGACCACGGTCTTCGAAGGCAACGATAGCGCGGCCAATATCCGATCCGAGCTGCCATTCGTGTTATCGGGTAACGCTATCATCTATTAAACCGGATAAGATCAATTACTTCAGCGGCGTCCTGGCGTCACGTCAGTTAACCGACCGCGCCGGTTCGGATCGTTGCGCGCTCCCGATATAGACGGTGAAACGAAACGAATTATTCGTGAGTCTGTCAAAATATGGGTCAACCGTCGCACGTCACCGATTTGCAGAGGAGCGCTGCAACCGCAAACCGGGGAGCGTTCGATATTTAGAGATTCGGTCGCGAGACAGGCTCTGAAATGGTCGACGGGTTCGACAAAGGCGATCGTTGTGCCAGGACAGCTCCTGAATAGAACGGGCAAGATTTTAGCCCAGCGCATTGCCTCGTGACCCGCGGCCATTGTGGATTCTCGATCATTGACTGATAGGTCGCGAAAGGTCATTTATTTTTTTTTCAATTTGCGTGCGATGCCCAGAAAATAAGTAATTATCGGATCTATGTTTAGGATTGGCCCGTTGGTTTTTGTAAATTTAATTTCGATCGCGGTCCAGATGTATTCGTGGACGTAGCTCAACAAGTTCGATAAGATCCCTGAGGTGGTGATTTGAATGAGAGAAGTCTAGGCCTATAAAGTAGCGCCATTTGAAGAAGGTTAGAAGATCATGGAGAAGTTAAAAGGGACTCTGAGTCCAGGAACCTTGTTTACCTTGTTGGGCTATAGTTCTCGCTTTCAAGATTGAATTTTTGCCCCCGATTCAAGAGCCAGGACCACCCAACTTTGCGTGTACGTAATATGAGTGAAGATGAATCTCGGTTCGAGAGAAAAGTTGCTTCCTCGCTTCCATGTTGAACTGGCCCCGATTTTCTCGCTTGGAAACCGGGACTTGCTATACTTTATACTTCCCAGGACTTCGTTACTCCTGTGTCGCGATCGCTGTGCGCACAATTACGCTTAATCCCGATTGCGGAATTGATTTTTTACGGCGTCGTGTTGGGTATTCCGATGCAACGATACCGGTGTCTGAACAGTACGTTGTTGTTCGACGTTGAACAAACGTTTCCAAATAAGTGGGGCCTCGTTCGATACGAATGTTATTATACCAAAGGCATTGCGAGGCACAAAATTCTCGCGACGACCATATTTTCGGAACCTGACCGTATCGTTTTATCGATGTTCGAGCTATCGTCGCGAACGTGCCGCGCTCGTTCCGTCGACAAACTTTTTCGTATTTGACCGTGTAGTCTAGCCTTGTGTATGATATTAAACCTAGAGGTAGTTTTTCGTGTATCATATAGCATGTCGTTAGCCGGTGAACCTCAAGGACAACAAGGTACATAATAGCCCTTAAGGTGTGATCACACGGACGTGTTTGTACTATTAGAAGTTTGATAATCGTTGTGAAAGTAGCCGCAGATGTTGAGAACACTCGTGAGAGTTTCGAATAGCACCGAACCCTATTATTTTGTACATAAAATCGTTGTAACATAGCGCAGTTAGTTATTAAGGGTAAAACGCGCGACTATATTATTACGAATAATATTTACTATTATTATTATTATTTTTATTAATATTATTATTATTAATATTATTATTATGATCACTGTGACAGTTATCTATATAATTATTATTAATTATTATTTTATTATATTAAAACTGCACACGAATCAGATGGGAAAATATATGAGATCACAAAATCTGTACGGTCTTGGCTTCATTTCTCTACCCCTATCTTCACATTTGATTGATATTTTAATGATTGTAGCCTGGTTTGAAACGTTGATAAATTGGTAAACGATGGAAATAAAGAAAATTTCACTCGAATATAAAACCATGATTAGCTTCGTTGTTTCAAGCTCTATCTTCCTATCTTTGAAGTCCCATCAAAAGTGTGAAAGTAGAGTACCACCCTAACATCTAAGACAAGCTTCGCATCGAAATGGGATATTCGTCGTTCGATATAGCCGTCCATGGCGGAAAACGAGGAAGACCGTGGAAAGATCGGTCGATCCTTCGCTCTATGAACGAACAATGAACGCAATTGACACATCTAGCTCTACGGCCAGAGGGGTTGAGAGTCGGTCGTCCTGGCGCCACGGCGTACTTTAATATCACGAACAAAGAGGACGGAATCATCGAGTTCCCTTTAACGAAGGAGAAAGCGGAGGCAAGTTACCTGCTCTCTCAGTAAGGATCGTTTCTTCGAGGCACCATAGGTAATGCAACCTTTACCCATCTGGCTGTTGCCAGCGTTGTAGCGGCCTCGTTCTATCAACTGGTGCTCCCGTCTCTCTCTCCCCCCCCTCTCTCTCTCTAAGTCCACTTTTCTCTCTGTCTATCCTCTCCGGTACCCTTTATTCTTCACTCCACCCGCTCCACCTGTCTTCTTCGTGCCTCTCCCTCTGCCCTTAGGAAAACCTCCCTCTCCGCGATTCCAATAAGGCTGCCTCCGTACCACGCTTTCCACCCTCTCTCTTTCTGCCCGTTACTGTTCCCTCAGTTCTCGCTTCCACTCTCGGTCTCTTCGTCCTCTCACCCTCGTTCGTTGACTCCCTCTACCCCTCTAGCACCCCCGTGAAGCACTCTCCTCTCCTCCGCGCCGCGGTGGCCCCAACGTCCTTTTGCGAGACTCCGAGCTTTTGCCATGGCATTGTTGCTATCGATTCGGCCCTGGAAACGTGTTTTTCTTCGGATATTTCGTGGCTTTCCCCAGCTACGGGCGGCTTCGCTCATCTGGAATAACGAGGATTCTAAGAAACCGGAGTGTCTCTCCTCTTCCTTTCCGTTTACAGCCGTGCACCCACTATTTTTCCCCTACGACGTCCGAAGAGCTTTTTTGGTAACCCGGGGCACCAAATACGCTGGTTATTTTTGCCTTCGAGGTTTGGGTGACGAGTGTCGAGGTAACGCCTGGGTTACAGAAGACAATGTGTCTTTCACTCATCGTGGTCCTTTTATTTCTTTATTCGAGATATGTTGGGGACAGATGCCAAAGTAATCTCCAGATAAACAATCGAGGGGGGTGCATCGATAAGGAGGCAATTCCATTTTTTTTTTCAAGCTGCCTTATTTCCTTAACATTTTCTTTAAAACACATGTTTATTTTATTCTTAAAACATTTGGCAATGCAAACGAAAAATGCAAAATACAAAGAATCATAAAATTAGTGCAAAATTCTTCCTGCTCTGTCTAACCTCGAAACCATAAAAAAGTCGAGCTGCCTTCTTATCACAGCAATTTTTGAATGGTCAATTTGAATGCTGGTGAAACAAGGTCTGGATCCATGAATGATTTCAACGTTTTTCAATTTGGATATTTAATTTTATTAAACATCCCTTCAGGCTGAGATTTTTCACGGATTAGGTAGTTAGCACTTTCCTCGAGTTCCTAAATGCCCAGATGGTTATGGTCGGTAGGAGTACGTATTCTAAAAGCTATTATAGAACTGGTAAAGTTCGCGATTGTAATACCGCCGAGTTCGCCGACGGCGATGCGATTGATTGGGAACAAGTATCGAAATTCAGAGGAGATTTCAACGAACGGATAGATTTCTCTTGTTCATTTATCCACCACTTTACGTGGGATTAGTACATCGACGGATCTCGAAATAAAATAGTCATGATCGAATCGATTTTCCGAAATAGAAGGAAAACCATAAATACGAAGTATTATAAAGGCAGCATCGTGCCAAGTAGGATATCCGATATTGACGCTCATGGTCGACAGTCGATGCGTTAAGAAGCGCCAAAACTTGACTGGAGATTTCAACGAATGGCTAAGCTTTCCTCGCGGCACGCAGTACGCATATTTATACATGTAGAATCCATTGCAACGTAAAATAAAAGCACCTGTAGAGAACACCTTTTTTGTAAACTTCTGTTGCAATTACTTTAGGTATTTCAAATGTTCGTAGACAGGAAAAAAGTCTGAGAGATTGACTGGAAAATTGAACAGTGGCATGATAAGTTATCATTTATTCCTATGACGCACTTTTAAATAGTAGATCCAAATCTTTCCCTTTCGAGTGACAGGAATACAGTTGAAAATCCCAAGATTGAACCTATCCCAAAATTGTATTTGTTTCAAATTGAATTTGTAAGGTTGTGTCAACCCATAATGATACTAACAATCACCAGACGGTATTTTGTTACGAAACCAATCGCTAATAGTGGTATTTCTCTAAAAAAAAGTGTCCAGCACCCACGCACTGCCGACTATCGGTGCAATTAGCTTGGTCGCCCCGTTCCACCGTTTATTCTTCGCATTCGGGCTCTTGACTTTCGTTTTCAACGATTCGACTCGCTGATTAAGGCGTCCCCCCAACCGGTGACCATATTATCGGGGCTTAAGTGGCGTAACTCGATCGAACGGCGATTTAACATTTTCCCCTCGCGCGACCTGCTCGCGAGCCGTGCGTGACGTCCATTGTTCTTCGGGGAGCTCCTCGTGATCTCCGTGTCAGGCTTCCTCCGGGTGGAAAAAAAAAGAAGCAAATTGTTCGGCCGCTCGACAATACCCTGGCTCGATTCGTTCGTCACCGCGGATATCTATTAGGCTTCGACGGCGTTTAAGCGACGACATCGATCCACCATCACGGATCATGACAAATTGAAGTTCGGGGATCATGACAAATTGAAGTTCGGGGATGGCACGGATGTAACCACACAATGAATTTGTTTTTCTTTTCGTGTGGTTTCGTCGAGCTTCTACTCTGGCTTTGATCGACGGTTTCTTAGTTATCGTCAAAGAGCGACGAATATTGTCCTTGGAAATATAAAAGCTGGGGTTAAGTGTTTTTTTACGAGGGAAAGACATTTTGAATAAATTTCTAATTTAAAGGACGAAAAGATGTAGACAATGGCTATTCTAAAGTTAAGAAATTTGGAAGCGATTAGTAAACCTCGTAGATAAAGTCTATTTTGGTAGAATTATTGATTTCGCAAGTTACGGAAGGCCGAGAGGAAGTCGAGAACAGTGGAAGGGTGGAAGCGGCCATTTTGTTAAGATGTCGTTTTTGCCTTCTTCACTTTACCTATACAAGGGTATTGTTATTTGAGTCCTTTAGAAACCAAACTGTCCAACGCGTAGAGAAAATTAATGAGGAAAAATATTATTTTATACGACGCAGCTAAAGTTAAGAAATTAAATAATACGTACACGCTAGCACTCACAACGACAACAAATGAGCACAAATCGTTACTTTAGTTGAAGTTTGTGCTCTTGTGAATTTTGTGTTGTGTTGTGAATTTGTTGAATTAAAAGTTATGAAGCATACAATACTTTTTGAAGAAGCCGACAGAACCCATTGATCCAGTTCACGCGGAAAAATTATCAACACCCTGTATATTCGTAGCACAGAATCAGACGGAAGTTCCGTGTACAAACTCCGACCTCAAGCTCAAAGCTAATGCACTCTCCGGGTGTAAATCTAGTTATTAACAAATATCCGGGCATTCGCGTATCGCGCAACTCCATTACGGGTGATCGCGCGGAGGAGCCGATAGCGATCATTTCGAGGGACTTTAAAATCTTAACCACTGCCTTGAAAACCATTTTTTAGAAACAAATTGAGACCGTCGCATATTAACCCTTTGCTCTCGAGAGGTGACTCTGTCACCATTAGGTTTCCTTTAGGTTTAATTTCTTTGGAACTCGAAGTGTCAATAAAATGATTGTCGTTGAGGCAATGGTGACCTGATTTTCAAATCTCAAATTAGAGATCTCATTTTCAAAGTAAATCTAAGCTTAGTAATTCTGGGCAATAGAATGCTAATAAACATCTCGAGTTGCTGGCAGATACCAGAAAAAAAGGCCTCGAGTGCAAAGGGTTAATAAGGAAGACACAGCCGACATTTTGTTCTAGGCAGAGATGGCAAAACCCTAGTCATCGAATAAATCTGAAGTTTGCCGATGTGTTTGTCTCGTTTCCTTCTTTGGAAAATGTTCGAAAGAGGAAACGAGACAAACATATCAGCAAACTTCAGATTTATTCGAAGCCTAAGGTTTTGCTCATCTCTAGTTCTGGGAACTGGTCAGACTCAAAAGGGACGATCGAAGAAAGCGAATGGAATACAACTTGATGCCTCAATGATTTTTTTTAACACTAGGTTTACGAAAGTTGATAGTATTGCACTGCTTTTTTGACGTATACTACGCGTTCCTGGATTAAATTTAGGAAATCCATGTTTTTCGCATTCAGAGTAGGGACACCAAAAAGTTTACACATATATACACGAAATCAAAAAAGCAGAAATAATGTTTATCGACTCACTTCACGCCAAATATTAGCCTTAAGCTAAATTATTTTAAGATCAAAATCTAAATTGAACTCGCTCTTAGCACTTTTGCAAAATTTCTTGTGGAAGTTAAAAGAAGTCAAAATTACTTCAACATCTGTATTTTATGGAATTTCTGTTCCCACATATCTATCGTATACTTATTTCACTATAAATCGAGAACGGTTGGACAAATTTGTATAAAATTTTGAACAAATGCAGCCATCTATCCAACTAAGGGAGTGCGCTACCATTACATACTTTAAATCTGTGTCGACAATTCACTCGTTATTCGAAACAGACATTCCCCAACTGAGCGTGGTCGATGGTGACGCAGCAAAGGGTTCCCAGGCTTAAAATTCCGGCAATCGGGAGTCTGAAATTGTGTAAGAAAGCATAACCGTGGCGAGCGAAACCGTCCAGGAG